GCTGAGATGGTGTTAGTTCTGAATAGTATCGTAATAATTGGAGATAAGATAGGACATTATTATAATATAATATAATACTAATTTCATGATTATAGCAATATAATGGAGAAATCCTGGGGTTCTGTTTTAACTGAAAATTTCAATATGCACTGTTAGCAGTTGCTCTTCAGGAGACTGAATGTATTGAGACAAGAAGCACATTAAGTCAGGAGTAAGGAGTATATTCAGGTATTAAATTATTTTGTGGTTTTCAAAATGAAAGATCTTTTTTTAATCCTAAGAAAATGAAGAAATAACTGACAAATAGGAAAATATGCAGATATACCTGCTAGCCTGCTTTCAGTTCAGTATTGAATCTGTGCTGCTTGCCTGATTTTGGTCATGTAAGGGTCATATGGTCTCTGTCCTCTGATGGATTAAATATAGTGCTTGCTAAATAATCTAATTTCTGTAGCTAGTATTCATGGGAAGATTATTTAAAAAGAACTCTTTCGTGTCCACTAAACAATGCAAGCTTAGCAATTTATTTCTTGTATTTCACATAAACTTCTGGGTAATTCATGAAAATATTTAAATTTAAAATATGGCACTGACATTTACTTGTAAAAGGCATGACTGAAGAAAGCTCCTATTCCAATATTTCTTGGTCAACAAAAATCTCTTCCTTCTGTCTTGTCATAAGATTCTTCCTCTTTCTTTCTTTTATTATCCTTTTGTGTACCCTGAAGAACATACACAGCTAAGCAAAGCAATATAGTGGACTTTAGAAGCTCACTGTGAAACAAAAGAATGAACTTCAGTGCTGCTTTTATTGACCATAGATCTATTTACCCCAGGCCAAACCATTTTCTGTTGCACAGCAGCGTGTGTCACACACGCATTTGCCCTGGAACTCACAGGGAACATAACATCGAACATCACTTGCTGTTTTACTGCAGTGACGGGTTATAGTTATCGAGTAACATTTATATCATGCCAGAAGTGCAAAACGCACTGAGTTACCCTTGGTGAACATTTTTTTTTTAACTGCAAATTTATTATTTATATGTCAAGTGATATATGTTGTCTCAGTAACCAAGGTGCATACACGAATACGGGGATTGCATACACGGTTTCTTCAGTTATACATGGATTAGATTGCTGACACGCAGACCTGGCTGAGCTCCTTTGAGATGATCAGTAGTAGTGTACAAATTAAAAAAATCTAAACTGCTGTCAAAATGTTCTCAGGCTTTGAAAACAATGATAGTCTACACAACCATAGGTATATCTAGGTATATATATATATCTAAAATATATAGGTATATATAGGTACATCTAAAATGTACAAGGCTTTTTGGAAATGTTCTGATATGTAATAGAGAGACTCTTATAAATTATAGCTGGATTTCCTTATTTAAAACAAAAGTAGTATGACTCTGATAGAGGCTATCAAAAGATGAAATGATGTTGCTGAAATCTGATTTGTTAGGGATCAACATCCTAGTAGACAGGTAGAAAACTCAATCATACTTAGTTTATGACACAGTGAAAGTAAAGAACAGAATTCCTTTATGTATAAAACTCCCATCAGTAGCTGATAAAGCATAAATTTCCAAGACCACACTTCTTTAGGAAAATGTGTATATTTTGAATGCAAACCTGGCAAAAGAACCAGGGAAGATGTAAAAGTTTGAATTTGGAAAAATCTCATTTCTGTCAAGAGAAAAAAGGGCGGGATTTCATTTGGCAGATCATTTCATTTAGTTACTTGAAAGTGTCTGAGTCCACTCCGTGTGTAAAAAAATTCAAGGGAAATGCACATAATTTTTTATACTTGAGGGAAGAAGATTTAGTATTACCCTGTAATTCTTATCACTGCTTCTCCACTTATTATTAGGGTCATTTAAGATGTCAAGAACTTGCAACCTTGGAACATTCCCTTTCCCTTACTGTCTTCCCTGATCTGACCTCTCAGAACTATTTCTAGGAAGGCAAACATGAGGTTTGACATGAGGCAAACATCTCTTCCCTTTTAGTTACTCTCTATTTGCACAGAGTAAAACCATCCAGGGCATATGGAAATGTAAAGCGAGCAAAAAGAAAAAAAAATAGAGAGAGAGAGAAGAAGAACAAGGAATTAAAAGAAAAAGAAACCTTAGTGATAGCTGATCTGTGTAAGAGGAGATAGGCTTATGCTAGCACTGATAGGGACTTCTCAAATGTTTGAAAAGGACCATTGCTCATCTGCGAAAACAGTCTAATAAGCACATAGTCATTGAGCAGGGGAAAATGAGCGGGAAAAACTACATTTAACCAAAAGAACGAAATGCAGACAAAGCATTCTGTAACCATCTGCCTGGGGCTGCTCTGTAGGGCAAAAAGGGCGAAACTTTCTCAATTGCATGTCTTATGAATTATTAAGCATGCATTTATATATTTCACTTGCAGGAAATTCTTTCTTGGCTTTTACTTTTCTGCAGAAAAAAAAATGCATGCAATGCTCAATGACATCCTGTCACAGGTGATGGATTATTATTTGCACGTTGGGATTCTGTCTCACATCTAATTACATTAAAAAATACTAGCTGATTCAGCCAGTGCAGCTCTCGTCTCCTTCTGACATGCTAGTGCAGTATCTGCTCATCTCATACTGCTGTGTTCAAAGTGGGATGATCTGAAATATAACTCTTAACAAGCAAAACATTGCAACATTGTTTTTTAAATCCCTTCCATTTGTCGAGGTCACGGATATTGGAGGGATGCTCTTGTTTTTTTTTTTAATAAAGTCAGTGCTCCTCTGCTACAGGACCCACGTTCAGAACAGCAGTCTCTGTTACTCACATGGAAAAAATGCAGCATCTACCTGGTTCCAGGGAATTTTGCTGTCCAAAAGAGCACTTCCTTAGGGCAGGAAGCATCACTTCTTTTCCTTCCTTGCTGGAAGCTGAGCGGGTATCCTGGGAACATACTTTGCTGTGTTTTCCATACTCTTTTTCCAAACGTCCTGACCATGCCAGCAGGGCAGCCCACAGCCACGGCTGAGCAGGGCTTTTCAGGGCCTGCTGAGCTCTGCAGCCTGGTTTGGCTCCCCAGCAAGTGACCACGAAATGAGCGTGGGGATGATGACACACACAAACCCATGACTCCCTCAGGGAATCGTGAGTTTATACATGAATCATCAGAATGGGGAATGTTCTGAAAAGCTGGCGTCCCTGCGGCAGGGCTGAGGCCAGTGCCTGGCGGTGCGTCCTGGCAGCGGCCACGTGGAGCCCTGCGTGGAGCTTGTCCCTCCTTGCCACATGGGCTCCTGCCTGTGGGGCCGTCCAGAGGCAGGATCTGGAGCTGCCCTCAGACAGTCAAACAAAACTCTGCGGCTTAGTGGCTGAAGGCAGCTCCAGTTATATACAGTGATATCACAGTAATATAGTTCATGTGTAATGCTTATGCCAAGTACACTTTCATACTTCATGTATTTGAATTAACTCATTTTTACTTTTTTTTTCTAAAGATTTTCAACTTTACCTACTTACATTTATGCATACCATTAGACAACACTAATAACTACTCTGGTAGAAGGGTTTTCTCAGAAACAATTCAAATTAGCTTACTGTTTTCTTCTTCTTAGATCCTTTAGTAGTATCACTGCTCTCAAAATAACTTTATAGACATTCAGAAATAACAGATTGTACTTCTGAAACAAATATTCATTTCCTGTTTTGTTCAAACTAATACAATCCAATTATCCTCCTGCTATAAGTTTGATGTATTCCAGAGCTTTCCCACTGGCTGCTGTACCTGACACTTTTTTTAGTTTCAGTCCTGAAGTGAGTCTAAATTGACCGAGTTGGAGTTACCTTAACGTTTAAGAAACCCTTGAGATGGGGGTTAAGACTGAATTAATGTCATTCACATGGATTTTTTAAAAGCTTTTTTTAAAATTTATTTTATTGGTATTTGCAGTTTATAATCCAGTACCCTCAAACCTCAATAGATAACATTAATATGATTTTATCCACTCATTAATGTTCAACATTCAGAACATTTAGAGTTTCCCAGGTCCAATTAAAATTTCTGAAAACAGAGGCATTTTCCTGAACCCAAACTATTGCTTCTCTTTCTGCTTTGTCCTTTATCTTCATTTATGCTTGCCCACCAGATGAAAATATATGCGAGTATTTCTCCTTAATGGAGAATATCATCATATTGTTGTACAGGGAGGAGAAAAGGGAGCAGGATGGGGTTTCACCTTTGCTTGGGAAGTTGCTGGTGGCCGGCGGGGAGAAGGAGTTGTTCATTTGTTTGTTTATTTTTCCAGAATTGGTGTCCTCACTCCCAAGACAATGTTGTCACATGGTCAGTCATAAAGTAATGATAATATTCAGTTCAAAAATTATTTTTGCAGTTCTACAATGCAACCCTTAATAGTAACTATATAAAAGTGTATAAAAAGAGTTCAGTTCTTCCCAAAGGAAACCATGTCTGTCAAGACTTACATAGCTGAAACCAGACAAAGTTGTGCAATTACATTTTCAAGCACTTGAAAACTGTTTGCCAAAATTTTCTAACTGTTGGCATCCTTCAAACATATGTTTCTGATATCTCCCAGATTTTTCCAATCTTTCTGTTTTCAATAGTGTAAATACTTCTGAAAGCTTGTGTTCTCAGTTCCTGATCTGGTAAATACAATTCATATGTACTTACTATATATTTAATTTTGAGAATCTCAGCAGTAAAGATGAGCTAATTTCTGAGTAATGTATCTCAAGGACTAGCTATAGGAAATGTTGTGCTGAAACAAACTTGTTACCCAGCTGCTGGGCGATCCCTTTTTCAAATGGCTAGAGCCAGATGCTTCCAATAAAAGAGCAAGTAATCTCCTCCTCCCAGTTAACTAGATATTATTTTAAGAGCTAAAAAATGAG